TTCTTACCTGCTATCTCCATTTGGACTCCCTGACGCGCTTTTTTAATCTATACAACTCTTACCTTGCAGCAAGAAAAGTAACATACTGATGAACTCCATCTTCTCCCTTTGTAAAACAGGAGTTAGCGCACACTCAGTGATGGCTGCTTGCTTCCTGTGGCACGTATTTCCAGTAACAGAAAGGAGGAAAGCAACAAAAAGAACTCGCTATGCTTGAGGTCCTGTATCAGATCCTTTCTCGCGCTACAAATACAAATGGTATGCAAACCATAAAGGAAGTTTTATAGGAGGCTTCAAAACATATTGGACCAAATTCATCCCAGGTGTAACCGTGTTGTGAGGTTGCACCTGGACTGAATGATTTTCTTTCTTTCTTTAGATTTCTGTCTGATCTGAGCCCCACATCAAAGGGCACTCCGCCCCCACCATCCAAAGCTCTGGGTGCTTTAGACGTACAGTTAAAAACACAGGAGCTGCAAAGTAAAAACCAACCCAAAGCAGCAGCACTTGTTCCTCTTCACGTATGTCATCTGAGCATCAGTCCTGTGATCAATGCAGCGTAAACCTTCCTTTACACCCTGGGCTTGTCTACACGGGGGAAAAGCCCAGAGTAGCTGCTGTGCACAAGCTAGTGTTCACTAGCTACTCTGTGTGGATGTTCTGCCTGCCTGCTAACAGTGCTGCGAGTAATTTTTGTTTTTACCGCTGCCTTGTGCCAGGCCGCGTTACCACGAGCTTGCCCCTGAACCGCAAGCCCTTCCTGAATGGGCTGAAGGGGAAGCCGGTGACGGAGAAGCTGAAGTGGGGGATGGAGTCCAAGGGCTACCTGGTGTCTGTCGATGGCTACATGAACATGCAGCTTGCCAACCCAGAAGAATACATAGGTGGTGCCTTGTCAGGCCACCTTGGTGAAGTTTTGATAAGATGTAACAACGTCCTGTGCATCAGAGGAGTAGAAGAAGAAGATGGAGAAATGAGAGATTAAGCGTGTATATTTCTGGAAAATAAAGATGAGTTTTTCACAAAAAAACCCACAAAACAAACAGTGCCCTCAGCACACCCAAAGTTAAGCTGATGCACGCAAAGGGGCACTCTGAGTCAAAGGAAGTTGCAGCATGTGTAGACATACCTGAGCTAGGTTGGATCTAGCTAGCTCCAGTAACACCCACAAAAGCACGGGTGGCAGCATGGGCTGCGAAAGCCCATCCAGGACTCTGGATATGTATTCGAGTGACTAGCCCAAGCTGCACCCTGTGCTGCCATGGCTTCACTGCTCTCGTTTTTGGAGCTAGCTAGATATCTATTTTGGGTATGTCTACACATGCTGCAGTGACACCTCTGCAGTGTAGACATGCCCGTAGAGTCAGGCCAATTATGCTTAGCATCACCAATACGGCATGAGGTTATTTCAACCCTATTTGAACTACCGGAGTCCCAGAGTTCAGGCTGATCTTGGATGTTCCTGCTTTCATGTTCTGCTTGAGCAACAGTGTGGGAAAGGGAGCACCAAGGGGAAGTGAGAGTGACAATCCGGTGGGAAAAAACAGCGAGTAAAGCTGGGGAAGACAGTGAGGGAGGGTGAAAAAACAAAGGGAAGGAGCCTAGATACAGAGAGCAAACTCTCTCTCTCTCTCCCCTGGTCCTTCGGGCTGAGGTGCATAGGGCTTGTGGAGGGAGGCAGCCTCGCTTTCCTGCTGTCCTCCTTGGAACTCTTCCATGGTTCCCGGTCTCCAGGGCTGTCCGCCTGGTTCCTTTCAGCCGCACATTATTAAAATAAAGACATGTAGCATCACTGACCTCCAATCAGTGCTTTCACTGAAGGAATTAATAGGGTAGGGTGACCAGATGTCCCGATTTTATAGGGACAGTCCTGATATTTGGGGCTTTGACTTATATAGGTGCCTATTACCCCCCCAACCCTTGTCCCAATTTGTCACTCTTGCTATCTGGTCACCCTATAATAGGGTGATACATGAGTGGCCCATAGCAGGCACACCCTTCCTTTGGCCAATATGTATTTATATCCCTTTTATAGGTTGTGAGAACCAAGTCAGTGTTACTTAAAAAAAAAACAGCCTATTTTTGCTTATAGTGTGTGGTACAGTAATATAGGAAGCGTTCATGCATCTTCGAGCAGGTGGTGTGAGGCAGGGTCTGCCCCTTTTGCTAGCTTCAGTGTTATCGCTAGCATCGTCCCCTCCTAGTAGCCGAGCAAAGCTCTCATGCTTCCTCCCAGCTCTGACAAACCACAAGGGCTTTCTCTGAAGTAGGCGGGTGGCGAGGTCAGGAAATAACACTGCCTGCACTGCGGGTGTCGTCATGGAACCCTGTGGAACCGAGAACTTGTCAGAACATTTTCTTGAACATGAAGACTATGGGCCTGATTTTCTTCCTGTTTACACCAGTTTCACATCATGGCAATGCCACTGACTTCAGGGCAGTGACGTCCCCTTGTTTATACTGGTGTTACTGAGAGGAGAGTCAGACCCAATAGACCTGAATCAAAGCCCATCAAAGTCATTGGAAAGACTCCCATTGACTCCAATGGACTTTGGATCAGGACCCATGTTCTAAACGTCTGAGTGGGGTTTAAAACTCTTCACTTCTCCTTTTTCTCATAGACTCATAGACTTTAAGGTCAGAAGGGACCATTATGATCATCTAGTCTGACCTCCCGCATGATGCAGGCCACAAAAGCTGACCCACCCACTCCTGGAATAATTCTCTCCCTTGACTCAGCTGTTGAAGTCCCCAAATCATGATTTAAAGACTTCAAGTCGCAGAGAATTCTCCAGCAAGCGACCCCTGCCCCATGCTGCGGAGGAAGGCGAAAAACCTCCAGGGCCTCTGCCAATCTACCCTGGAGGAAAATTCCTTCCCGACCCCAAATATGGCGATCAGCAGAACCCCGAGCATGCGGGCAAGATTCTCCCACTCTGTCTCATGCCTCCTCTCCCTGAAACAGCATCCCGCTTTCCACGTGTCAAGCACCCCCCTTCTGAAAACCCTCCATGAAACTTTCCAACATTTTCCCTTGTACCCTCTCACGTGTGAACCACCGTCCCATGTTTTGTATTTGTGTATGTTTGGTTGGAACCTCATTACGGCAAAGGCCCTATCTAATGTCTTCAGCAAAGTGAAATGTGTTCATTCACTGCTCTGTTTAAGGACAGTGCTTAGGCAGCTGATTTGCTGAGACCACCTGCTTTTCATGCTGACCGGTTTTGTCTCGTTGTTACTTTGTTCCCCTGTCTGTCTCCACCTCTTGTCTCTCCTCTTATACTCAGATTGTAAGCTCTTTGAGGGACCTGACCCATGACTGTGGTCCCTAGGAGTACTGTCATAGAAATAATAGTTAACGTATAAAACTAGGCAGCAAGAGAACAGGTTGGTTATAGAAGTACAAGGATCTGGCACTAACCAAAGGACTCAGACTTGTTTGTACGTTGTGCTATTTTTTATTAATTTCTCCCATGGCTTTTCCAAGTCTCAGAAGCAGCACAGAAACCAGCACACAGGGCCCCAGATGCTGCAGTGAGCATGAAATAATTCGAAATGTCCCAAACACAAGGTCTTTTTGCCCTAAACTTGCTGCCGCCCCAGCTGCCCTTCACAGAGATGAGACGGGAGCCTGTGTCAATAGATTGCTGGCTGGTCAGGTGTGTTTTCTGTACCAAACGCTATGGAATGAGGAAGGTCAGTATCCCTACCTCAGGATCCTAACCAGATCTTTTGGTTCTCTGGATGAAGGATTCTATTGATAGCGAGTGTGAAGCTGTTTGTTCCCTCTGCTTTAGCCCATCTCCATATCTGAGACAGCCACTGGAGTTCAATTGACAGTCAGTGCCGGTGGCCTGTTACCCTGATGATCTCAGAAGGGAGACGAGAAGGAGAAGGGGATCCTGGCACCTAGAAGTCAGGATGGCAAGAGATAAGGGTTTAACCTGGGTCAGATTTTCTTCCTCAAACCAGCTCCTTTGCACTGCGCAAGGGGCATAAAGAAGCCAGAATCGGGCCAGATGAGAACCCCCTTGGTGAAAAGCCAGGCACCTCCATTTCCTGTGCCAGTAATCACCCATCCCGGGGGTAGGGGAAGTGCTGGGGACAGGAGAGGATGGGCAGCTGAGCACAGTTGTGCTCTACCAATTCTCAGTTGGTGTACGGTTCCTTGAGGACCAGTTATGTTAGTGCAGACCCTGGGAGGAACATAGGAGGGCTTGTTATGAGTGTTCTTGGCACCTAGAAGATGGACCAGCAAGAGATAAGAGTTAGATGCCAATCTTTCTAATCCCCCTGTGCTGCTGTAATTTACCCTGAGATCTTGACTGGCTCCCAGACAACCCGCATTCTTACTCCACTATAATGAGCAGATCCCAGCACAGGAGAGAATCTAGCCCTAACTGTATGTGTTACAGTATGGCATAAATGTACCTGGTATCTCCAGAGGTTTCTGGTTTTGAGTGACAAAAACTAGGAGATAACCCCAAATCCCAAGTGTTTTTTTATCCCTGGCCAGCCCCTTGCAAAAATGTGCCTCTTCCCATGGCATTCACTCCATGTGGTATCAGAAATTGAACAGAATTACTGATTTGCTAAAATACAATCAGATTCTTTATTGGCTGTGAAGAAAAAAACAATTTCAGGCTACTTGTCTGCCCTACAGGTACTACCTTATAGATTAAAAAGCTCACAGGAATCAAAAGAGAGACTCACATTGTTCTAAAATATCTCCTGGTGCTTTAAAATCAAATGAGATGTGAATCTTAAATGCATCCTTAGGTCATTGCCATCCTTGGGGCTTGGTGAACTCCAAAAGGTGTGAGCTCAGCCTGCAGGAAAGCAAAGGCATTAGAGCTTTATTGATATTTCACCTCAAATCTGCTTGAAATGAGATCCTTTGCCCTAAAAAAAGAAAAAAATCAAACTTCTGAGGGTTCAACTTCCCCAAGGCAACTTATTTTTGGCCAGAAGATTCTTATTATATCACCACACACAACCTCATTAAAAATCTTTGAGGAACTGAAAGATCTAGATGCATTAAAATGTTTGCTTGACAGTAAGAAATAGTGCAACTTGCAGATCTGTTGTTCACTGATTCAGAACACAGGAGTGTTTTCAATCATTATTGCTTTTTCCTTGTCCCATCTTCAGAAGCGATTGTACTGGGACAGTCGAGGAACTTGCTAAGCCTCTCCCTGGGCTACTTTGTTCGCTTGAAGCAGGAATGTGCTGTAAGCAATATCAGCTTCCTCCTTGGAGCCCTGAGTAAAAAGAGAGGAATCACATTATTCAGACTTCCCCAGAAGAACCAAGGAGGTAGCAGACACTTAGGGTGACCAGATGTCCCGATTTTATAGGGACAGTCCCAATATTTGGGGCTTTTTCTTATATAGATGCCTATTACCTCCTACCCCCATCCCAATTTTTCACACTTGCTGTCTGGTCACCCTACAGACACTGAAGGTGCTATGCAGAGCCAATGTGTAAAGAGACCAATGTATCCAATGCGAACAAGGTACCCAACATTGCTACCACTGAGAGAATCCTTTTGTCATACTGTTGCCTACTCAAGAGGTTCAGGTCCTTTGGATCAACTTCAGAGAAGTGTCCTAAGTTTTGGAAACCTGGAATTCTTTGCAATGTGCCCTTCACTGCATCCTGTTTTAGTTCTGTTGAAACTGGCATAAGATTTGCCTGTTCTAAAGGAAGTGTCATAAGCTGCTGTATTTCCAAAATTTTCTCATATCATAAAGACACTTTGCACTTCCTGGGTGACTTTCAGCTAAGGATCTCAAAGAAATTTACAAACCAGTGAATTCAAAGATACTAGAAGGGCATTCTTCATGAGAACTTTGGAACTTGTTCCCTATTCTCACCTTCTTGGTCCAAAATAGCCCAAATGTGGCTTTCTGGCAATGCTGCAAAAGCCTATTTATTCTCTAACGATTTGGGGGGCAAGTTCCTAAAGGTGTAAGGGGCTTTTCTGATGCTTTGATTTACTGGTTGGGCTCCTGGCACCATTAATTGTTAGGGCACCTAGAACTATTTGTTGTGGACTTTTTTTTTAATAGTTGTTGACAGCTTGAGGAACACTAATCTGTAACTAAGCCTTACAGCACTCCGGCGGGAGGTGAGAGTACCTTTATTTCATTTTACAGTTGGTTAAAGTGACTTTCCTGCAATCACACACACAGTCAGCAGTAGACTTTGCAAAAAAACACAGCAATCCAGGCTTCTAGTTCTCCTACTAAAACCACCGTACAGCACTCCTTCCCGGCATTAGAGAACTACTTGGTTTAACAGGAAAGAACTCGAAAGCAGCTGGATCACTGTGGCAGGCTCACAGCTTCTATTGATCCAGTAAATCTGGCAGTTTTGGATTTATCAGTCTCCTCACCTAGACTCAGGCTTCCAGAACAATAACACCTGCTAATATTTCCAGCTGAACTGAAACCATGAATCAAAGCTAAGTGACTGCTGTTAAGTTCTATGCTCTAATGATGTAGGTGCAGTAAAGGGTTAGAAACTCCAGTGGAGAGGCTGCAGGTGTGATTCTTAATAGGCTGCTAATTGAGAAATAGTTGACCATAAATAGGGCATACAGGGGGAAAGAGGAGCTTTTGCTGCTGATGTTCTGCTGCCTGAAAGAAAGACTAGGCTGCATGCAGCACCTTGGGTTATATATTCTAGCTGTTCTTACCCTTTTCACCTTCGGTGGTTCTTCTGCATCTTCAGCATTGCCAGGGGTAGTTATAAATTCTGAAAAGCATAGGAGACGTTAGGGTACTCTGCATGGGAGATCATGCAGTGTAGGCTAAGCCCCACTTATTCAGTAGCTCCTACATGCACTAAACTGCTGCTGATGTTCAGGGTACAACTTCTTCTCTGGGATGGATGTCAGGCTGAAGCACTAGCACTATAAAGCTTTTGCAAATGCACCAACGACACCACCTTGCCCATGAACCAACTGTGCTGCACCTGAATTACGTGCTAAGCATCCCTGCGTATTGAGCCAGGGAAGCCTCTAGATTTCTAGGGGAGAACAAACATCTTTGATGTTTCTTTAAAAAAGTTTTATTTTCTGTTTCCAAAGATGACCATCACCAGTGACTCTATTGCCCACACACTGAGTTTGACGGTCTAGGTACTGGAACTTTTAGGCTTGTCATTCAAACAATAACCCCAACTACCAAAAAGTTAAAAGAGATTTTAACTATTTCTTGTGACTTTAGTACTTGTGAAAGATGCTGAGATCAGAGACCAAGTCTCTATTGTTCCTATTTGTGCTTTTATATAAGAATGGCTATAGGGGGTCAGACCAATGGTCCATCTAGCCCAGTATCCTGTCTTCTGACAGTGGCTGGTGCCAGATGCTTCAGAGCGAATGAACAGAACAGGGTAATTTCAAGTGATGCACTCTGTCATCCAGTCCCGGCTTCTGGCCGTTGGAGGTTTAGGGACACCTGGAGCATGAGGTTGCATCCCTGACCATCTTGGCTAATAGCCATTGATGACCCTATCCTCCATGAACTTATCTGATTCTCTTTTAAACCTAATTATACTTTTGGCCTTCACCACATCCCATGTCAACAAGTTCCCCAGGTTGACTATGTATTGTGTGACTACGTTCTTCTTTTGGTTTGTTTTAACCCTGCTATTAATTTAATTGGGTGACCCTTAATTCTAGTGTGTTATGTGAAGGGGTAAATAACACATCCTTATTCAAGCAGAACTGCCCATTGTATTCAAGGTGTGGGCGTACCAAGCATGTGTATAGTGGCTTTAAGATATTTTCTTTTTTACTATCTATTCCTTTTCTAATGGTTCCTAGCATTCTGTTAGCTTTTTTTTTGACTGCCACTGCAGTCAAAAAAAGCAGATGTTTTCAGAGAACTATCCATGATGAATGCAAGATCTCTTTCTTGAGTATTAGCAGCTAATTTAGCTAGTTTTGTGTGTGTAGTTTAGTTTAATTTTTCCAATATGCATTACTTTGCATTTAATATTGTAAGCACTTCTGGGAGAATCTGTTTTATATGTAATACATTTAGTCCATTGTAGAAACCATCCAGTTTGCAGTTGCTTGCTAGATACATTTTTTTTTTAAGTTTTGCTTTTGCACAACGAAGTGAGAAAAGATTCCAGTATCTTTTCTATAGCCAGCAGCCTCAATGCAGAATCCTCTTTATATGTACTATCCCCTAGGCCAGTCATTTCTTTACCTCAAGATACGTTATGGGTGGTAAATATGGAACTTACCATCCACTCCTCCTAGCTGGGTCTCCTGAGCATCATGTATGCCCACGTTGTCCTTCGCTCCATAATCTCTGGAATTCTCAAATTCTGACAGGCTAATGTTTGTTCTGTAGCTTCCAACCGAAACCAAATCTGTTAAAAGGGAGGCAGGGAGCAGACATACGCACACAACATTATTTAATACAATGAGCTCCTTTGTTTTATACTTTCAAGGTAAATGTCTCACTAGTAGCCATACCCTCTCCCTCCCCAGCCACGCACACATCTATTAGTACTGGATGACCTGCAAAAGATTCTGATGCTAGTAGCACTCAGATATTTATCTGAGCCTCTTTGGTATGGAAACCAGGCTAGATGTCTCAGGAGGACAGGCTTTCTTCGAGCTTTCTGCTACTGCCTGATTTTTAGAGAGAGAAGGCAGTAGATTTGAGCACAGGGCTGGCGGAGCGGATGTTCTAATGCCAGGAAGACACGGCTCCCGTTATAGCCTCATTTTCCCTGTCTGTAAAATGGGATGGTGGGAGGGTCAATCAGCTAGATGTAAAGTGCTCTGAAGTACAAAAATATTATTGAGTCCAGCCATACATATACTTTGCCAACAATGTTTTATATGGAGTTGCTTTGTTCTGGGGCAAAAGGCTGGGATGCGGTTCCCACCATTCCTATATGAGTGCTCATAGGAGCAGCCCATACCAGGACAGAGACTGTTGTACATGTCATACACCCTCTACCTACAAATCTACAGTATTCCCTAAGCCCCCTGGAAGGCCAATAAAGAAAGTTAGGACTCACCTGTGCGCTTCAGGAGCCTAAATTTAACAACCACAAAGACTGTAGCAAGGAGCAGACACACAGCAGCAATGGGGAGCAGGACTGAGAGAATCACCTTAGAGCTGTCATGTTCTGGTGAGCTGGAAAGGGAGCAATTGAGCAATACACACGTGTGATCCTTGTGACTTTATATTGCTCTATACAGGGCTGTATAACACAGATGAACCAGCATAGCCTAGAAGATCTATATAGAAAGCTTGTGCACAGTTATGTACGCAGAAATGCTTCACAATGGCAAAATCATGGATGGCCGAATTCAAAATTCAGAATCAAGTGGGATTTTTCAGAACAAAATCATCATTGCATTCACATAGTGATATTCATCTACAGATGTCAGAGCTATTAATAAACAATTAATAAAGCATCTTGACATCCCAATGAGGCAGATAAATATCTTTATCCCCATTTTGGGATGGGTGAATTGGCTTCTCCCGATCCCAAAGGGAATGAGCGTTCCAGGTTCCTGGACCCCAGTGTGCTGTTCTAGCTACTAGAACATATTGCAACCTTTGTACCAACAGAAGCCTTAGAAGAATGAGTATTTGCCAAATGGCATTATGAGAAATGATGGACAAAAGTAAAAAAATTGGAGTTCAGAGTGGATAAACATTCAGAGTTTAGATGATTACCCAAAGCTGAGCCAAAATTTTGATATGGGCAAAATTTTGCTGGGAAACATGAACGGACAGTTTCTGACAGTAATTAGTACTCATTGGAATTGAACATATCAGAATACATGAGAACTATAAAAAAAGTTTGGTTGTGAAAATGGACAGGTTGGATGGCGCAGGGGAATTCTTATTCTTTTCCAAACCACTTTGGAACAAAGTCTTCGATGGACTGACCTTGGTAAAGAGTTGTTATCTATGACCCCGCCTCTGTTTTGGGGATCATTACTATTTTCAGAGCCTGTGTTGGAAATATTGGCATCTTCAGATTTTGTATTGGGAGGGATTGCATCTTTAGTTTCAAACAGTAGTAGATGAGAATGGTGTGTTATTTGCATCCAACATCACAGCAAAGAGAGAGAGAGAGAGAGAGAGAGAAACCAATATATTGTCAGTACTTGATTCATAAATAAGACCATTTTCAAAAGTGCCTAAATCTCTTTTTCAAAATGTTCCCATTGATTTTCAATGAGACTTTGATTCCTAAGTGACTTTTTAAAACAGGAGTCACTTTTACCAAATGACCTCATAAGAAAATCTTGAGTGGTCTTCCTAGCCATGTATTGAAAAGATGGTTTTTAATCCCTAGCTGTGTTACTAGTATGCTCCAGAATACGATTCAAATATTTGATATGCGTATCACCATTTATATTGCATGTTACTTTTTGCATTTCACTCAGCAAGGACACTGGTTTCCTTTCATTTCTAGCTAGTTGCTCTTCCTGGTTCTCATGCATTAGTTAACACAAGGATATTGGATTTAGGTTTCCAACACCACATGGTTGTGTTTGCCCCCAACTTCCTCCAACCCTCTATCCCAAGAAAAAATCATCTTTATTTTAAATGTACTGAGATGGAGTTGAGCAATCGAGTTCCCCATCTATTAAATAGCACAATAGTCCTTATTTTCTTGTTCCCTGTGCTCTTCTCTATGTAAACTGTAAGCTTTTTGGGGCAGGGAGTCTCTCTTATGAGCTCAAAGGGACCCTGGTCTTGGCCAAGCCTTCTCAGTGCTGCTGAAATATAAATAATAATAATAATTAATAAATAATAGGGGGCTGAAATGTAAAAGTGGTGCAGACTCAATTCTTTTTCCAGACTTGTTACAGTGACTGGAAAATGGAAGAATGTTGTAACCAATGTGTGAATGAGAGTTACAGCGATAAACGTTGTGAATACCGTGAGATCCTTAGTGAAACAGAAAGTGTGGTCTGTCCTAGGCAGAGGAGATTATGATGTTCTCAAATACCACCACTTGGCTGTTGTTTCGAGATAGTGCCTCTCAATGGAATGACACCATTATGGGTGAGCATCGTGGTTACAGAGAAAACCTTGCCTGTTTTGTCCTGCAATAAATCCTGAAGCTCACCTCCATTTACTGTCAGGAACACTGCCATGGTTTCCCCATAGTGACCAGAATGGCTCACTCCACACCAATACCACCCTTGGTCTGCCTGTATTACTTGGTCAAAAGTTAGGTAGAGTGTCCTCTTCTCCTTGTCACAGTTGACAACCAGGCCGGTTTGGTTTTGCTCAGCGGAGATGAGAGTTTGGCAGCCAGTATTACGCCACTTGCACCAATATTTCTGGTAAGAATAATATTTGCATGGATAAGAGCATGGTATAGTGACCCGTGTACCAATGACTGCATCAATCTGTTTCGGTCCTGTTAAACCAGGTTGCCCTGTTAGAAGGGAAACAAAACAGTGAGGCTGATATTAATGACTTGAACAATTAATATGCAGAAGTACTGTTATCAACAAGGTGTTAACAGGAATATATAATTACTATGTAACTACATGGTACAGAGTGTATCTATGAGGGTAAATGCACCTTATATTGCTTTCGTAACACTTAAATGTACTATATATGTGTATGGATACATATATCCCTATGTACTTTATAGTGTAGATATGGCATTTAAATAGCATTTGTGTCAGAAAAGCTTGAAAAACAGTGAAAATATTTGGTGGGAAATTAGTGAAAACTTTGCCAAAAAATTTCAAACGTTGTCCAAAAAAAGTTTCTGTTGAAATCTTGTACTTTTTTGAAAAATTTCCACCAGCTCTAATTTGTACCTTGAAATGTCAAGCTTTACCCATTAAGATTATGAAGCTAAAAATTAGAAAATAGTTCTCAGGAAAACAAGGCTCTGCTCTTTGATGCTGCTTTGGGAGGAACAAAGATAAAGTACCCATATCGCTTGTGCTGGCAGAGACACTAATCACTACATGTGCTTTCATACCATCTATAATCTTCAGCTCCTTTGTAGATTTCCTTTCCATATCTCCATCCGTCATACACCAGTAATATCCTGCATCCCCTGCTGTCAGCTGGTTCATTATTACCGTGAATGTTCCGTTTTCCGGGTTATCATGCAGGACTATCCTTCCTTCATATGAATCTGTCATACTCGCAAGGTTGGTTATTAACTGATTGCATCCATTCTTCCTCCATTTGCACCAGTACTTGATAGTGTAATTCCCCCGTGGATCATAGTGGCATTCGACAGACACTGAACCTCCTATGACTCCATTTATTACGTGTGGTCCCTGGGGGACAGATGTCTCTGGAGATACAAAATGGAACACGTTCTGTTAGACTCCTCTCACACATTTCATGCTGTGATAACATGCATGCTGCATGTGCCTCATGTGGTTGTTTGGTTGGGTCTGTTCCTTATAAAAAAACATTTTAAAGTAAAGTTAATTGCAGGGATGAAATACACCTCTACCTTGATATAACGCTGTCCTCGGGAGCCAAAAAATCTTACCGCGTTATAGGTGAAACCGTATTATATCGAACTTGCTTTGATCCACCGGAGTGCGCAGCCCCGCCCCCCCCGGAGCACTGTTTTACTGCGTTATATCCGAATTGGTGTTATATCAGGTCGCGTTATATCGGGGTAAAGGGGTAGAACAGACTGACAACGCTGGTGACTGCAGAACAGAACAGTCACAGCCTGGCCAGTGAGAGCTCAAGTTTCCCTCACACACTGCCTCCTGCCAGCCCCCAGTGAAATAATGAGTCTTTCCCCTGACTTCCGTGGACTTTGGATCTGGCCCTTGTGCCTCAATCCTGAACTGGAGGGACCCCCCTAGAAGCCAGAGAGTAGTTCAGTCCTCCACAGACCTGTCGTTCTGTCAAGAGAGCCAGCAAGGACACCAACGATAATGGGCATTTCCTTGTTGATTAAGGTTTAGCATGAATGGTTCATGAGAAGTTTTGGTGTCCCCTTCACTTGGAACCTGTGGAGAAACCCGGGGCACAATGGCATGGCATCAGGCCAAACAATGTCTTCTCCAAACATCCGGGAACCCAAACACAAGTGGAGCAATAAGAGCCACACATACCTCAAGAGGAACAGCAGCTACTAAAGGCAAGTCTACACAAGCTCTGCATCGGCGCAGCTGCGCCGCTGTAGCCCGTCAAGTGAAGACAGAAGACGCCCTCTCCCGTCGGCATAAGTACTCCACCTTGGCGAGTGGCGTAAACTATGTTGGCAGGAGAGTGTCTCCTGCTGACATACCGCTGGTGTGAACAGTGCGAAACTTGCATCACTCGGAGGGTGGAGTGGGGACTTTTTCACACCCCTGAGCATCGTAAGTTAGATCGACTTAAGCGGTAGTGTAGACCTGCCCTAAGCCTGTTAGTGCATCCAACTGAGCATAGAAATACCTTTGGCTTATTGCCTAGAGCATCTACTCTTTGCACTTGTGCTTCGGAAACTAATCCAGAACGAAGCAATGAGGCTAATTTGCAGCAGGCAGATTATGCAAAGGGAGATCTCTTCTAACGTGCAGTAGTCTCCCAAAGAAAGTGGTGGAAGCCCCATCGTGGGAGACATTTAAAACTAGACTGGAGAATAGATTGTCGGGAGCGATCCTGGGATGGCTGAGGGGGTAAATTGTATGGGCTCTAACGGGCTCTAGCCTTTTCTAAATTCTGTAGTTCTTTCTCTTCATATTGGATCACTATTTCTAAAAATTGCTTAGGCAGGTCAGCCTACTGGTTAGGAAAATGTGTCCGGGTTTTTTTCCCTTCTATAGTCTGCATTTAAGATAAGCCAGTTAAATGGGTCAAGCAGGAGTTTGCTCATCCCAAATTTGTAAAGAGAATTTGCCTTTTGCATGGGCCATCATGACCTTCTCTAAAGGCTGGTTCACGGAGAGGATTACAGCCTATCACTGCTACCTACTAATGGAGTTACTCCTTCAACTCAAGCGATAGCTTTTCTGATGAAGACTCAGGTTTAAACCCCTGCTGTCAACACACAATGGAGATTGCAACATAGAGTCTTTGGGAAAGGGACTTTTGTCTTCTTATTTGTCTGTGACGCACATAGGACACTGTTGGTAGCTAAATAGATGAAAACATAAAAGAACAACGAGCACAATTCTTATTCTCTCTAGATAAAATTAAGAGTATCAGTGAGATTTTCAAGGGAAACTCAGACCCTTAGGAAATAAAATATTAATCTCTTCAGACTGTTGGAATGGCTGAAATCTACACACCCTGCCCATCGCTCACCTTGGTAGACATGCACATCCAGTTCTTTGGATTCTCCTTTCTCTCCGTAAGTCCCAGCCCCACACAAATATACACCTGAATCTTCTTTCCTCAGCTGGGTCATATAGAGGCTGAATGACCCATCAAGCTCCTGAGGGCTCAGCAAAACTCTCCCTTTGTAGTTTTCGTTAACATTCCCGTAGGTGTCGATGACATTAGAGCAGCCGATTTCCCCCATTTTGCACATGTACTTCCTCTCACTACCATATTCCGTGCCAAACGCGCAGTTGATGGTCACAGAACCTCCCAGCTCGATGTAATAGAGTTCGGCTTCTTCGGGCACGTTTGGACCTGTGTGAATGATAGTCCAAGTGAGTATCCAGAACCCAGACTGTATTGCGGTTTACAACACTCTTCTATACCATGCCCGATTGTACTGCAGTAATCCTACTCTTCTATACTTCCCCAGACTGTACCAGAGTCTACTCCAGTATAGTATACCCTACTGTACCATACCTCCATACACATTCCCATACTTTTCAACCCTGCATCATTTTGTACCAGGCCATCCCATATGCACTGCATTGCAGGATATCTTAATGCACCATGCTTCTGTGCACCATATCATATGCTTCTACACTATGTCATATGGCACTGCTTACTCTCCCATACTACAGTAGACCATATTGTAGTGTCCTGTACTATGCTATGCTGCACCACATGATCGCATATGGTGTTGTAAATTACAACCTTTATTTTTGCTGAGTTAACACTTTCCACTCAGGAGAGTAGATAAATCAAGGAATTTTGGCTGCCTTGAACAGAATTAGTGTACATCTCCATTTTTATATGGTACCTTTACATTACAGCGATGGGGGTGCTAGAAATGCAGAGATCTTGGTTATTACTCAAGGTACCAATCACCTTGCTCTCTTGGATATTGTCGATGGATAGATTTCCCAAACACAATTATTTTTTTTGGTAATAATAATATAAGAAGCCCCCAGGCTGTAGCTACCCTTGGAAACATCCAGCTTGACTCGGAAGGAAAGACCTCTATTTACGAGACCAATGCCACATTTATAAAAGCCGATGTCCTTTTCCACTAGCTTTGAGATCTCAATGGTGAAGATGCCTTGCTCTGGGAAGTCTGTGATTGTCGCTCTGCCAGCGAAGTCTTGAGCAGTGTAGCCACTGGAAGAAATGACGGTCACACATTGCCGTGTTGATTCCTTGCACCAGTACTTTCTGTCATGTCGGTTCACACTGGTGCGAGGGTAGAAGCATTTCACAGTAACTGATCCTCCCAGCAAACCGGTCACCTGCCTCGGTCCGAATATGGGGCTTGAACTTGAAACTGGCAAGAGGAAACATGTTTCATGTTATTCACCACAAGTCAAGTCATTATTACACTAGCACCGTCAGGCCCCAATGGAGATAAGGGCTTCACTGAGCTAGGCACATAGCTACAAACACAAAGTAAGAGACAATCCCTGCCCCAAAGAGATTTCAGTCAAAATAGCCAGGACAGACAAAAGAAAAATTAAATGACTTGCCCAAGGTCACACAAGGAGTCTATGGCAGAGCCAAAAATTAATCTCCTGTGTTCCATCTAGTGCCTTAGCCACAAACCCCTCTTTGTTTCTGAAAGTGCTGTGAAATTTCTGTGGCAATATAGAGTGGTAGTTACTAGTGATGATTAAACTGGTTTGGATGAAGTAAGAACCAATTCAAACCTTCATGCCAAACTTGAAATGAACCTCACTGTTTTAGCTTACTTGGCTTTTTAACGTTCTTTTAATTTTCTTGCAACCTTGGATTTCAATCATCGGCAGAAATACTAAATAGTTGTGAAAATAGTCACTGCTCTGATTATTCCATCCTGGCTCAAAGCAGCATATATCTGAAATCTTGCAAAGCAGTGGGTCCCTGTCAGAGCTAGGCAACTCTTCCTTAATGATGGTTTCATCTGCTAGTTTTGTTTCAAACCTCAAACTCAGGTTTTGCCTATAGTTTCACTGAGGTTCAAGAACCTTTGAGGGGTCGGGAGGGGGGGGCTGAATTTGCAGAGATCCCTGGGGCTGATTTTATCTTTTAAAAGAAACAATGCTAAACATGATGGGTATTATATTATTTTGGGCCAAACTCCGGCAAATTGATTGGGCTAAGCTTTACATTGAAATTTTAGGTCCACTTGAACCCCAACCTCAAAATGAAACTCGGGGTGTGGAATCCAAACCACAAAATGGTAGAAAGGTTTCTGTGAGCCCCCATGGACAAACACTGCAGTGCATCACACAGCTCTTGTTCCCAGGAGATTTCAGACCAAATACCACACCAAAGAGAGAGAGAGACCAAGGAATGGGAAAGCCAGGAAATCGGATATATCAGCTGATTTGCCTCTAATCTGAATGGTCTCAAGAGATCAGCAAGGGCTATAAAGAACATTCATCTATTTGGTCATAACTATGTCTTCACTGATATCTGCTATATAGGATTAGCCTTACACTGACTGTGCTAAATGTCGGCATGTCTCACACTCTTAACTTAGTCACTATTAGATACTTACTTCTTGCAGACTCAGCTTGGAGGAGGGAGAGCAAGAAGATGAACACCAAGAAAGTCATTTTCCTTTCAAATGCCTGGTTCCCCAACCTCTCCTGAAATCTGTAAATAACCACATTCGGAAGGTCACATTATTTATGTAGTTGGACATTTAAATTTTTTTAAAACCACCCGTTGAACTGATCCATGATACAAACACTTTGAGTCGTGAGTTAAGGCACGTGCACGGAGTGTTACCAGAAACTTAGGCCTATAGCCATTTGTACTAAAGGAAAAACAGTATGATCTAGGGTTCACAGCAGGCAACTGGACCTCAGGGTACTTGTGTTCTTGGCTCTACCGTTGACTAGAAATAGGTCACCTAATATCCCCGGACCCAAGTTTCCTTCTTAGTAAAATGGGGTGTCAGGTTGTGTGGGGTGCAATCCAGATCAGTGAGGGGTTGAGTCACTACCTGCCCTGTAATCATAGGTGCCTCAAATGCTATGCTACTGTAACTCCATGCCTGGGATGTTCACAGTGAGCAGCAAACATGCAGGTCACACCCTGAGTGTCTCTGTAGTGGCAGCTCTGATCCAGCAACTTGAACCCAGCAGTCTGCCAGCAACACACCAGTCACACTCCTGGTCTCTGTCAGCCTTGGTTGCTACTTGTAGAGTGACCCCAGCACACTCCCAGTCCTGAATTTTCCACAATCATGTGCTCTGTAATGTCCAATCCTCTCCTGGGCAGTTCAGAAAAAACAATGTTTATTTTTTCCCTAAGTCACAAAAGAATATCATAGCTTATTAACTTCACTGGGGCAAATATACCCTTCCATTTAAACACAGCACTGAGCTAGTTTATAGTAAAAAAAAAACCAACTGTATTAACAATAGGACATAGGTTAAGTGATGCCAAGTAAAAGGAATAAAGTTAGAAAGGGTTACCAACAAACACAAGTGAAAAAACACATAGCTAAAAGACAAACTTAATCTATCAAGGTACAGGCTTTGTTTAAAATGTTTTGTCTCACCAATCATTCTCCTTCCCAGCCATGGCTGTTTTTTCCTCTATCAGGACCTTCCACAGAAGTACAAGAGGCTGGTTTCCCTTGTCTTCCTAGGTGAAAGATCTTTGCCTAAGTGGAATTCAGTTCCTAGAGACTTCAGCCCACCCTGGTTGAAGGACCCATCCTTCTTAGCTCGCAAGAGCTCTGTTCCCTTTTGTCTGCATATCTCTGCTTATATCTCCCAAAATATAATGACTTTGCTTCAAGAGACAGGATGACTTCATTCTTCCCTTCCTGTGGGCTTTCCATCTCCGTGTATGTAAACAGAACTTCCATTGTCTTGATTCCACCAAGCGTACTTTACATAGGAAACAGGTAAATAGCTCTTACGTTCCCTCCTGTCCGGGAGAGACCTGTTTCTCCCTTTGTTTGGACATAGACTGTAAAGCCTTATATCAATGAGTATCCATAATTCCTTATATAGTTTTAATACATACATTTTATGATGATATTAAACACCAGTGTGTCATTAGTTTTCATAAACACCTACTTGATACACTTTAATAATACAATAATATTGTATACAATCAGTTGATTCAGTTGCTTATCACTTGAGGTTCACCCCCACCCCCCATCTTTATAGACCAGCGAATCTTCACAATGTAGTCTCTGGAAAGTAAAAACCCAGACCAAGCTTCTCTCTCCTGCGGGGAGTGGGCATAGATGTTCTGCTGCGTCCTTGCCTGCTTGGTAGCTTTGTTTATCTGTGTGATGGGGTGTCGTCCTCCCCCCCCCACACACACACACATGTGCCCTGAAGGGGTTAATGGAGGCCAGATAGGCCAATTAACCTATTAGGCTGAAGGCTGAGAGGAAAGCTCTAATTAGGGGAAGCTCACCTGTGCAGGAACAGGAGGGGTTTCTATAAAGCCAGGGAGCTGAGAGAAGGCAGGGGACTGTAGGGAGGTAGTCTGTAGTCACTCCCTTGGATTTGGGGGTTATAGAGACAAGTAGCCCATGGTGACTCCCTAGGAGGAGGGAATAGAGAGGCTGGTAAACCCCAGAGATTGGGGAGTGCCGGGGTAAGAAGCAGCCTAGTGAGTAAGCGGCAAGGTTGGGGACTGAACTGACCTTGGTTGTATGTGGTAGGGTCCCTGGGCTGGGACCCGGAGTAGAGGGTGGGCCTGGATTCCCTTACCCGCCACTGGGGAAGTGGCACTGGTGGGGCAGTGAATGGAAGACTGCCTGGGTCACTTTGCGAGTGACAGAGACTTTGAAGAACTATCTCCTGGACAGGAGCGGCGCCAGGGTTTTTGGCGCCCTAGGTGGGGGTCCTTCCGTGCTCCCGGTCGTTGTCGGCAATTCTGCGGCGGGGGGAGGGGATCCTTCCGCGCTCCCGGTCTTTGGGGCACTTCGGCGGCGGGTCCCAGAGCGAATGAAGGACCCGCCGCAGAATTGCTGCCGAAGACCCAGCAAAATGCCACCCCCCAAATCCTGGTGCCCTAGGCGACTGCCGAGGTCGCCTAAATGGAAGCGCCGGCTCTGCTCCTGGAAGGGGAGAACACCGAGTGACCTGGCTGGAGGGCCGAGTCACGGAGAGCAAGAAAGGGGCTACAGACCAGATTGAGAGAGGGAGTGACAGCATACAACCGAGGAAGTGGCATTGACCCGGCGAGCTATTCCCCAGAACAGCCAGGAGAAGGTGCTAGACCTGTGGTGAGTGGAGTGCCCCATCACAAACTGATATGTAAAAATGGGCCTTCATTGTCTCTGCCTGAAGACAGGGCTGGTCAGAGAATCAAGTGGCCATTCCTTTGTCTAAGGTACACAGTGCTTATGCATTGCTAGCCACACACATTTTAAGAATATAATTTTAGCACATATTCATAACATTTTGCACAAACCCTGTGTATACATCATGCAAGAATATTAATGCTCAGTGAGTTATTGGTTTTCCAATGATACCTTACCTGACACCTTTTTAGATACAGATTGTAACCATGGTTGAGTCGGGGTACACTGAATTGATCAGGCCAGCTGAAACACCTAGCCTGATACCATTAGGCCTCTAGCCATCTGGCATCAGGATGTTCTTAGAGTCATATGGGGATAATCATATTTACCTGCTTCCTGTGGGGTATTGCTATGCTAAATGATTTAATGTGTTAAATTCTTTATTATCTTTGCATAAAAGTCACTATAGTTTGTAGGCCTGCTACAAGAAAGATTGCTTGCAAAGGTCTGACTTCCATCCATTAGAGGGCAGTGGTATCATACAGAAAGTACCGTCTAGTGTATATTCCTATCTACGGTGCAATGGCATTCTAAAACAATCCAGTCTGGGCAGTGTTAGCACATGAGTTTCTATGAGAATAAATGTACTGTAGATCTCTGCCCAGTTGAAGGTTCCCATGGATAATTTACTCTGGAGGACAAGGCTTGGACCACAGCATTCCACAATGTGATGTTAATTATTTTTGACTCTTGGTACAATCTTTGTTTGGAGAATGGATTCATCTGGTGGTGTTTTCTGTTCTGGAGACACTCTCTGTACAGAGAATGAGTGAGACACCTGGATTCTGTAACCCCGAACAGTCTGTAAAAGCCAATACTTTTCTACAACAGTTCAGTATTTGTAAGGCCTAGTCTTGTATTCAGGATGACAGCCTGCACTATGGAATTACCTTGCTTCATGTTCCCTTCTGCCCCTCTTAGTTCTTTTGATATGAAGATCACCTCAAACCTCCTGTGTGTGTGTATAGACATCATTATGCTAAACCACTGCTCAGAGCAAAGAATTAGGGCTTGTCGACACTTACAGCGTTACAGCTGTAGCACTTAGTGGAGATGTTACCTACACCAACGGGCGAGCTTCTCCTATCAGCACAAGTATTCCACCTCCCTGAGAGGCAGTAGCTATATCAACAGGAGAAGCTCTCCTGTCCACATAGCACTGACCAGAGCAGGAGTTGAGTCAGGATAACTGCATCGCTCAGGGATGTCTATTTTCCACACCCCTCACCGATGGACTTATACCAACATCGGTTTGTAGGGCATACCAGGGCTCAGTCTTCTCCAAAGGACAAATGGGCCAGATCTAACCCCCTCCCCCAAGTTTTAGGTTTTAAAAATCCAAAGCAAAATCTGGACCCACACTTTTCAGATGGCTCCTAGCCTTATTATGGGCTGAACGCAAACCTAGATCCAAACACCTCTGAACTTTGAAGGGGCGGGGGGAGGCGAGAGTAGGGAAGCCCGACTGGGATCTGTATCCAAACTCTTCAACTTGGGCCCATTTTGGAACAAAGCCCCTTTTCAAGAGTTTGGTGCCTCAGTTTCTCCCTTCTGCTTTTTAACATTATTCACCCAGCAGGAAGAAAGATCGTTCACTTGGCATCACGTTGGTTGCCAAATCCATGCCTTAAAAACCTGCTCCATAGCTCCCGTAAGACTATATTGGATTTCTGACCATTGGTCTTCTTCCTTTTTCAATCACAGGTGCAGGTCTAAACAAAATTTTCCTTTTTTTTCCCCCACCCCTTCCTCCGCAACTTCTGATGAGTCAATGGGAGATGCAGGTACTCAACATTTCTGAGAATTAGGTTTAAACTGCGGAGTACTGGTCACACCCCATCTACCATACTGTGTCCACTGCTACATAGCATCCAGCCAGGGGAAGACAGAGTAGAGCCCCAAAAATGAAACCAGGTGTCAAGGATCAAAATTCCAAACATCGGGACATTAAAATGCTCCTAATCAAACTGTGCACATCTTAATCTGAGTCTGTCTATAATTCATATGTTTCTCAAACCTTCATATGTCCCAAACCTTTAATGGTTTGGATGGGCTTTTGAGTGATGGACTGGAGGGAACTGGGGTTCTTAATATTTTAAACCAGCTTGCCTATCACTGAGTGTGTGTGTGTGTGTGTGTGTGTATGTGTGTGTCAGGCCATGCATGATCAATGACCCATCAACTAATCCAGGGAGCTGTGGTGTTTCATTGTTCAGTTACCAAGAATATGATGGGTGCCAAGAAAAGTTTGTGCAAATAGCCAGACTGGTTTATTTTCTGGGCAACAGGTGACAGGCTTTATTTTATAAGG